CCACGCGCCGGCCCTTCTGCTCTTGCGTCCCCGCGCCGGGCCGACCGTGGGAGCGCGCAGGGGCGGCCAGGCCGCGGCGCCTTCGGCCCGCTCTGAAGACGACTTCCCCGCCCCGCGCGTCCCAGCTCCCGGGGCTTCTTCCGCTGCCGCTGCCGTTGCTATCGTCCCGTCGCCTTGGGGAAGGGAAGCGTCTCCCAGAAGGCGCGCTCATAACGCTGGGACCGCGGTTCTCAGCGCCGAGCTCAGGTTACTTCTAAAACTTCAGGGAGGCTGGGAAAGCGGGCAGTGCAACCCGTCATCTCCGGAGGGAAAAGGCTTGCAGGGGCGCCACCCGCCAAGCCTGTGCACTTCGGGGCCGGGCCTGGGCCTTCTGCATTGACCGAACGCTTGCTTTACCTGCTCTACTTGGCACCCTCAAAAAGATTACCTTCGGCTTCCTAGGCTTGGGTGAAATCTCGGTAGGGTTCTAAACTCCTCCCTAGATCCTGTGCCGGCCTCGACCTCCCCTGCCTGGGGAAGTCAATGTTTTAAAAGGCATTAAAAATACATAGGGTTATAAATTACATTGAAACAAAGTTATCAAAAGTAGTATCAAGATCTCTCAAATTTACGAATGATTTGTGCTGCTTTGTGAATGCATTAAGTACAAAACTCAGCGCCGAGGCCGCGAACTCCTGCAATCTCCAGGTGTGGAGCAGGCGGTATAAACTTCTGCCGCGTTCGCGACAGCTGAACCGTGACGTGAAGGCATCCCCGACTCGATGGATACTGCCTTACCAGTCTGTTGTCCGCATTTATAATCCAATGAAAACTGATTTTCTGTTACATTGGTGGAAATAAAGATGTGGAAAAGCATGAACTCATGGCCCCCTAATTCTACCTATGGACATTACGTTGCAAGTTGCAATCCTGCTTAGAGCGGTTTGCTTTTAAAGCTCTTGCTGGCACCACGTCATATTACACACAGCTGTCAGTGTCTCCTTTTGCTCCGATTGTTTCTTAGTGATAAAGGGTTTGGACCAGGAACTGCTAGATTGTTGCATGCCCCACCTGCTTTTGTAACATGCCAGAGAATGTCCCTGTGACAGTGGACATGTGTCAAATATGGACGTGTGTCATATATAGCACCCCCCGTGGGTGTAAATTACCCTTCGTGGTGGGTTCTAATACTGGTGTCAGGCAAAAGAAAACAAAAACAAAAAACAGAAAATCTCAGTTTCTGCCTCTATATCCCACACATTCAAAAGATTTTAAGGTCGAGGAGGCTTCGGAAGCTGAGGTGAGTAACCTAACCCACCCTAAACACAGAATGTTTGCCAACTCCGTCCCAGAAAAAGAACTTTCAGGACAGGTCAGCAAAAGGCATGGGAAAGGGTTATTAGGCAGAGACTTGGGTAGCACTCAAGAGCTCAGAGCAATGAAAGCCCTTATTTCCTGGAGCAGGGAACATTTATGCTTCTCTAGAAGGGGTGGAGACCCTGGGAAAAGGAGGCCCAACCCCCACAAGGGACCTGCCCATTCTGCAGGTATGCACAGGGTTGGGTTTCTGTGGGGGGGGGGGGTAGGTAATTTAAACATTTTTCGATTCTCTTAACCAGCTTCTTTATCTTAGGATTCGGGTTCCGCTCTTTCCTTCCTTAAGCCAGTGAATGGGCTTTTGAGGGTTCCTGAGGAATTTTGGGTGTGACTGGTCAGGCCGGGAAGGAGCCGTGCGGCCAAAGGAATGCTAATAGGGGCTGCCTGTGGTCCTGGGTCCTGGAAGTCCCGGTCTTCCTAAAAAGACAGTTTTTAGTTATGATGTCCTTGTGTCCTTTCTACTGTCTTTTATTTCTTCTAGCCTATGAGCAATTTTATGAAAATTCAGATTGACAAGTTTTTCCAATAAAAAGTCTTAAGATATGAGAATTAGAAAATCTGGATAGTCCTGTATCTATTAAAGAAATTGATTGTAGTTAAAAACCTTTCCATAACAAAACTTTCAGAGCTGGATGGCTTCACTAATGTAAATATCCAAACATTAAAAAGCAAAAAATGAAAGGATTCACCTCTTGGTTGCTTTTATGAAGCTAGCATACTAAAGCCTTGTTAGTAAAGCTTGATAAGGACTTACAAGAAAATTACTGGCCAAATGTTCATAAAAACGACGTAAAATTATTAGAAAAATTCACTTTAAAATCAAATCTAACAATCTATAAAAGGTTAATAAATCATGACCAACTTGGATTTATCCCAGGAATATAAACTTTGTCTAACATTGGAAAAAATCAATAAATGGAATTCAACCTTGTATACAAAATATAGGAGAAAAACATTTGATAAAACTCGGTACTGATTCATGATAAAAATTCTTTGCAAGCTGAAACATTGAGAGAAATTAAAGAATATTTAAAATAACAAAGGGCATGTTATTTCCCTGCAAAGAAAACTATAGGATCCATGCAATCACAATCAAAATCCCAGGAGATTTTTTTTCAAAGATACAGATTAATAAACTGAAACTTATTTAGAAATTCCAGATAATCAAAGAACAGATTTAGGGGACTGAAGCTACTTGAGCAATATTGATATAGGAGAAAGAAACTCCCAACCTGAAAGATACCTGGGATGAGGTCATGTTCTCCAAAATTGAAGAATGAATTTTAGGAACAATGGAGGTTAAGAACAGAATATATTTATTGGGGGAAAGAAAACTTCTGTCTGAGAGAGACAGACGGGGACCTGCCTTTTCTAGGGATTTTTGTAGAGCAAATCCCAGTGGTGAGGTGGGTCTAAGGTGGAATACCTGGGAACTCATTAGGTGGGTATGAGGTGGGACAAAACTATGGTCAACCAATGCGATTACGAGTATAGTTGTTGCGGGTAAAATTGATTAAATCAGGACCAAATGGGGAAAGGAGTCATGTAGCAAGTGAACCTGAATACAGAACACGGGCTTTTCCTGTAGAAGATTGGGTTAGTGACTCTTCCTGGCTTTTTCAAGGTGATTGCTACCTATTTAGAATATCAATCCCTGAGGTCCATCCCTAGGGAGGTGTGTGGGTGCATTTGTTTAATCTTTTGTCTTGAGGTCTGGCCCACAGTGGAAGTACCTGTCACTCCCACAGTAACAAAGTACCTTGTCTTCCATATTGGGTCCTTCCAGGGCCTAGCCCTGTCTGAGTGCTTATAATATGTCTGTCTAACTCAGCTGCCTTACAACAATATGCAGTTAGTATGTGTTGGCACAAGGTTCAACAGACCCTGGGGCTGAATAGGGAATATATATATATATATAAGCTTAGACAGGTGTGGTCTTCTTAAACCCAGTACCAGAGATTGAACTCAGGATTGGACATTGTTATTATCTAATAAGTCTCCCTTCTCCTTTTTTGTCATCTTTTTAAGATTCCACATGTTAGGGAGAACATGCAATACTTGCTTTTTTGAGTCTTATTTTAATCAATATTGATATAGGGGAAAAAACTCCCAACCTGAAAGATATCTGGGACAAGTTTTTGCTCTCTAAAATTGAAGAATGAATTTTAGGAACAACGGAAGTTAAGAGCAGAATATATTTATTGAGGGAAAGAAAGCTTCTGTCTGAGAGGGACAGAAGTGGGGTCCCAAGTGGGCTGCCCAGGGAACCTGTTTTTTCCAGGATTTTTATAGAGCAAAACCACAAGATGAGGTGGGTCCAAGATAGAAAACATGGGAACTTGCTAGGTGGGCATGAGGTAGGAGAAAACTTTGGTCAGCCAATAAGATTACAAGTATAAGATTACAAGTGTTCGGGTAAAATTGATTAAATTTGGATCAAATTGGGAAGTGAGTCAATAGCAAGCAGGCATGAATGCAGAACAGGGGCTTTTCCTGTAGAAGATTGGGTTAGTGACTCTTCGTGGCTTTTTCAAGGTGATTGCTACCTATTTAGAATATCAATCCCTAATGTCTATCCCTAGGGAAGTATGTGGGCGCATCTGTTTAATCTTTTGTCCACAACTGGAGGTGTCTGTCTCCCCAACAGTTGAAAGGTATCTCATCTTCTGCACAGGCTCCTTGGAGGAGCCTGTCTGGCCCTGTCTGACTGCCTATAATATTTCTAATATTTCTATCTAACTTAGCTTCCTATAACAATATGGTGACATCAGATCTATTTTCCTACAAATGACAAAATTTCATTCTTTTTTATGGTTGAATAAATATCTTGTATATGTACATTTTCTTTTTCCATTCATCTGCTAATGGGCACCTAGGCCCTTTCTTGGCTATTACAGATTGTGCCGCACTAAACAGGGGTATGCTGGTGTCCCTATAGTATGTTGACCTTAATTCCTTAGGGGATGTACTGTGGAATGGTGTGTCTGGGTCAAACGGTAGCTCTGTTTTAGTTTGGAAATCAGTTTCGCAGCATCAGTTACTAAAGCTGGGAATACACATCCGCAGTTATTCCCTTTCTAGCCATCAGTGGTAAGGTGTTTATGTGTGTGCCAAAAGACATGTAAGAGACTATTCTGAGCAATAGGATTCTTGACAGTCCCTAGCTGGAAACCACTCCTCTGAGCATTGAGAGTGGGAT